CCCAAAACCCCAAAACCCCAAAACCCCAAAACCCCTTAGATGTTAATAAAATTGAAAGAATAGAAATGCAGTCTGAAACTTCGCGTACTCTCAAAGTATGCTCCCTCCAGTACAAGCCTGTCTACAAAGATATTGACGAATCCTCCCAGATTGCTGACAAACTGCTTTCTGGGTTCTCAGACCAAGATGAGTTCGATGTGATTTTGCTTCCAGAAATGGCGTTCGCAGGGTACACGTTTGACGACAAGGAAGACATTGAGCCGTATTTGGAGGAAGCAAAGAGCGGGAAGACTTTTGAGTGGTGAGCATCTACAGCCAAAAGACTCAAAGCATATGTATTCTGAGGGTAAGCCTATATTTCCTGCTTAATTCATCTTTCTTCAAATGTTAAGTATTAGAATCCTATAGTAAACACTCTTCCAAACTCTATTTGCGGATAAATTTATATTTTGCATTGCCAAACATTTGGTTGAATTTCAAAAACAAATTGCTCTTCTACTCAGCCTCTGCTATAACCCCTGCATAGCTTATCCAAAGCATTTTTACAGATGTTGGCTCTCTTTATTTTCTTATTTCATCTCCATCTTTGACAAATAACTAAACTAAGATATGTATTAATTAGTTGAGTATTCATCCTTCTGGGAGGTATAAGCTTCCTATATTTTGTAATAAGAAAGCTAAGTTTCTTAGAGCCAAAAATACTCAAAAATATAATGGATCCACATATCCTCCAAGCTGATAGTCATGGTCTCTAATCTGAAATCTGAGAATAAGCTAAAAAGTTGTAGATTTGGCAATTAAAATAGTTTTATTGGAGAATTATGCTTATATGAATTAGCTACTCTTAGAGAAAGTATATTGGTTAAAGCTTCAAATTCTAGAATTTTAATACCTTTGAAAGGCTCTCAGTTGATCATTTTAGCAACTCTATTAGTCAATACATATATCTAGAGGCTCCTTCACTAAGATCTTAGAGTCACAGAGTCTCCATGACCAATATCTTGTTAATTTGAGCTTTCATTTATACCAAACTTGTATCTAGTTATCCAGAGAAAGAAGGAACAAAGATGTACAACTCTCAGTTAGTAGTTTCTCCTGAAGGAGAATTCCTGAAATCATACAAGAAGACTTATCTTTATGAGACTGATGAAACCTGGGCAGATGAGGGACCTGGCTTTGAATGCATGACTATCAAGAATAGGGCAGGCCAGGAAGTTAAAATTGGCAACGGAATCTGAATGGATATTAACCCCTATAAGTTTCAAGATGAATCTGCTCCAGGAGCAAAAGCATGCGCATTTGCAAATTATCATGCTGATAATGATGTTGAAGTCATACTTTTTTCTTCAAACTGGGTCGATAGTGATTTGGATAAGGTAGCTGATGATGAAGCAACCATGTCAACATTGAATTATTGGTGTTACAGGCTGGCTCCTTTCATGAGACCTAAAGACACTTCCAAGAGTAAGGTCTAGTGTAATCCTTCTAGAGAGATATTTTGTATGCGCTAATAGAAATGGAGAAGAAAAAGGCACAAACTATGTCGGAAGTTCATGCTTCCTAATGGGTCATGAAGGCAAGTTCACCCTGCTTGGAAATCTCTCGAGGCCTGCTGTAGGAGCCCTCCAGGCTACACTTAAGCTGGATTAGTTTCAATCTGAAGATAGAATATAGGGGTTTTGGGGTTTTGGGGTTTTGGGG